ACTGTGTCATGATTTGCTTTGCCTTAGAACCGCAAAACATGATACGACGGGAAAACTCCTGCGGAGTTTTTTAGGCAGAAGATTATAACGCCTTAGATAAATTATTTTATGTTCAACAAAGAGCCCAGAATTAAATGGGTGATATAGAAAAATTAACTAAAGAACAAAAAAAGAACACTGAAAGTGCACAGAGAACGAAGCTTTATTATGATATGAAACGACGGGGAGTAACTTATAAAGTAGGAGATGAATTTTTTAAAAGTAAGCATTCACTTTCTTCAGCACCAGAGGATAAACTGCCCAATTTTCCACGATTTAAAGGACCATATGTCATAGAAAACATAACTCAGGCCTGTAGTGTTTTTTAAAAGACAGGAATGGTGAACATGCTCCGCAACACTGCCAATAAAACCATCTATAATCGTAATAAAAATGGCCAATATTTAAGATCTTCGGCAGATCCGGCACGGCAGGCACTGCAGGCACAAGCTGCAGAGGTGGAACAACAACATCACAAGGGCAAGCATTAGCAGGCAGGCAATTGAAAAAGAAGTTTCCCCGTTGAATTGAAGGTAACAAGAAAAAGAAGCCGTTCCAACGAGCAGAAAAGAGAGAGCACGACCACCCCAATGAAAAGGGAGAAGTACGACGAATGCAAAGAGAGCCAGAGAATGACGGCAACTAGAACCCTCCCAAACGGAGATCTACCCATGGCTAGGCACCAGCAAATGTTGACAAATTGATGAAGGAACACCAGTGCGGAGTCAACGAAACAGGAAAATTTGAACAGCCAGCAACGCGATCAAGCAGGAACGAGAGAGTTGTCCCGGTTCTGTCAAGACCAGCTGCCATCAAACGGCCGAGACCACAGGCAGAGGCTAAAAGAAGGTCTTCAAGGGCGAACCCGCACAAGAAGGAAAGATAAACCAACCGTAGTCTTCGCTACCTTCCAGGCGGGGCAGAAAAAAAATGTCCGAATTCACAAGATAAGTAAACTTTATGTGACTTGAACCTTAATTAATCTTTCATTTACTGCAAGTGGCAAATTCAAGACGTTTTAACCTCTGTGAGGGTCTACCTTTATCGCCAAATAGGCGAGAAATGAGTTGTTACCTATTTTGGTATATGTTTTCATTACTCGCGAGTAAAACTAAAATTAATGTATAATAGGAATGTGTAAATACTTGAATTTGTTATTGTAAAATTTTATTTAAAAGATTCTGGCAAGAAGAAGTTTTAGTCTGAAAGACTTTGAAATGTAGTTTTCAATGTAGAAGAATTGGCACTTGCTTAAATATAGAGTTACAATTACTACTAATGTACGTTTTAAAATGCGTAAAATTAACGGCATGTAATATGTCCTTATATACATGTGAACTGTTATTTTAACGTTAGAATACTGTGATATGTTAAAAGTGAAAGTAATGCAAAATTTACCTAATTCGTGTGACTGTAAAAAGAGCAAATTAGTGTGAATATGTGAAAGGTTGAATGATGTAGTTGCTCTCTGACGCTACTTCAGAGTTACCCACTTTTCAAATAGTACCTCAGGTTTAAGATGAATATAAGTGTGTTCTGAGGTCTTGTTATTTGAATTTTAAACGTTAGTGTTTTGATTGAGGGTAGTGTTTGAACACTTGTACATAGACACGTTCGTGTTGGTGTTTTTCTTACAACACTGTGGAGAGCACGGGAGATAATTAAATAACGTCATAATGAAATAGAATGTTAAAACAAATATAATATTCATGTTACTTGCCATTTAATTGTGAACATTTCATTAAACTATTTTTCCTTCCAATCTCTGAAGGAACCAGATTTCATCTAAGAACTCCTGTTAGATGCAAGTACAGATGAAAGAATTGTCCATGGAGTGATAATGTAAAACGATTTTTTTAAATTTCTAGTTCTAGTGAGAATTTGTAAAAGATGGCCTCGCGTTAGATTCTAGAGCTAAAGTTTCAACAAGGTCGTTTTCGACCTCAGTTTCAAACTAATTAACTCTGGCGGGAAGTATGTAAGGATCTTAAGTTTTACTAACGTTTATTTTATTTTAAATCTTTACTATCACTTCTTATTTTCTACTTCCAGCCAGAATTAAAAGCTTTAACTTATTTATGCAAATTTGTCTTGCGAACGCCAAGTACTTAAGTTGTGGCTTTTTGCCAAGCAAGAGAGAGGAAGGAGCTATTAGAAGCAGGCCGCTTGCCATAGTAGTTTTACTCGGTTGCTGGTTGCCTTCAAGGCCAGAGGTTTAATCCTCTTGATAATTTTAAACGTATCGTAGTGTTAGCAGCTCTCTGTACTACATACGGCTTTTTGCTAATATACGGCCAATCTTGGAGTAGGCACTTGTTTGATTAATCCAAAGTTAAGTGTAGTTAGATTTTTAGTTAATATTTTTTATATTCTTACGTTCAGACCACAAGTGGTTGGTCTCTGTATTCCGAAGTTCCGGAAATCATTGTAAAGAGAGAAAAATAAAGGGTTTCGTATACCCTTCCTGTGTGTATTGTCTACTTCCCAAATTTATTGAACATAGCTTTAGTAAGCTCCTTGTTCCGAGTCAGGACAGTTAATGTTCCCAAAGCAAGTAAGGAAGAACACAGAACCTGATAAACTTACCAACAGTTCTTGATAACAGTTTTGCTTTTTCCCATCAAACATTAAATGCTTTAGTTACTTTAAGCATCCTTTATTTATAATTTGCATATACTATATATATATATATTGCATATACTATATATATATATATATATATGATATATATATATATATATAAATAGAATATATATATATATAAGTATATATAAGTAGAAAGTAGTACACGAACAAGAGAGACCTATGCGGTCAAGAATTTTGCGCATTGAGCTGCAAAATTTTAAAATATGAGGAAAGTTCTAAAAAGCTATTACTTAAAATTATATTTGATACTGTAGTTCCAGAGTAAAAAAGTTACACCATGTAAAAGCAATAATACAATACTAAATAAGTAAGAATTATCGCCTAAAAACGTAATGTAAAAATTACAAAACGAGACAAACTTCAAAAACAAAAAGGGATGAGAATATATGCAATATATATTATTCATTTATTATTAATATATATGTATATATATTTATATATGTATATATATATCATGCAAATTTATTGACAGATTTCGAATTCAAGAACGCGTATCCCCAAAAGTAAACTCCATGACCTCATAGTTGCACTACAACGATATTTGACGAAGTTCTTTTAATTCCTTACATCCACCCTTCAAAGTAACTGGGAAATACCAGATGAACTGCAACTGGCTATTCCAAATCTGGTGAGGGATTTCGTCCTCCGTGGTAGTTCAGGCAAGAGATGTGGAGAGTATTAAGGCTTTTGCAGATTAAGAAATATTAAAAGGGAGTGTCTATAGATAAACTATAAAACGAGTGAGTCCTTTATGTCTTCACACGATGTTTGCAACGTGAATTTTCTAACTGGAATCGGCATGTGTATATTCGAGGCTTCATGAATTACTATTCGAATTCTTATTAGAGATACCATAATTAGCTTCTATTTGGGAACTCAAGAAACGACTCAGACGGCATCGAATCCGCTACATCTTGTTAAATGATCGGATTAGCAGCCACAGAGAGCCTTCCATATCGGAACGTCCAGTAGCATTGATTGGCAAGAATCGAACACACCACGCAAAGAAAATTCAGGCATCGAAAATTCGAATGACTTTAATTTAGGCAGCACTCTCTTAAATAGTAACTTAAATCATTTTTGAGCCCCGCAACACATAGAAAACGCAAACGTCTTAAAGAGTTAAGACTGGTTAAAAGCCTAGAATGACTAATTCCTTTGCCAGTGGTCAGACAGGAAATCTCATGACTCAGTATACTAAACACTGGAACACAAAAACATGTGGCAGAAGTGTATTTAGTTACTTACAGCCCATCCATAACAAACTTTAAATTATGCACATCACACTGTAAGGAATGCACTTTCGAAATAAAACTTGTGTTATAAAATCGAAAAAATTATTACTCTGTTAATTTACTGGATACGTATTAATAAATCGTTAAAGAAAAACCTTAATAAAAATTTCAAAAGAATTTTTGACGCTCTATCTTCATTAATAAATTATAGTAATATTACTGTTTGATAGTAATAAAAGATTGCATAAAATTATTATTTTAGAGAGATGTACTGTATTTAAATAATTTAGTTTAAGCCAGTACACATCCTATTTGTTTTACATTTACGTATATCTTTTCTACTTCTGTGTTTTCCTACCTCAGAAGCACCAGTAAATGTCTAGTAAGTGGATGAAATTGGAAGTATTGTGCATCGAGTAATCGAATTAAGAGGTTCTAAGGCGTACGACTAAGCAATACATTAATCAACACACACTAATTAGATAAGAATGAGAAGCTTTACCTGGTTTTTCCTGTTCAAACACGTTATCCATTAGAATGAGCACAACATTCGGCTGACGAATTTCGTGATATTACATCGACTGGTTCATTGCATCACCAAGTAATTCAGGACAGTTCACCGATTACTTTCAGGAAGTAAAGTAGTGAATGCTGATCGAAGAGATAATATTGATTTTCTAACACAGAGAATATCAATAATGTTTGTGACAGCCGTGAAGTTAGGAAATTCACAAACATGAGTGTATTAATGATACTCCACGCTGTTCTCTTAATTATGAATTAAAAGTGTTAATTTATTTCACGGAATACGGAAGAATGTACTTACTCGTTTACTTAGAGCATCGTAAAATTTAAATTTCCATCATATTCTCCGAACGTACTTAGTAGCATAAAATGTATTTATTGAAGGAATATTGTATTAAATCATGGTAGTCTAGTTTACCTTCTTACTACAACTGATACAATTTAATTTTTATGCATTTTACCATGCTATAAAGATTCTGTAAGAAAGACGACCTTTTTCATATTTGCTTCTAAACAATTAGTCACTTTAAGTGCAAAGTATACCGATTTACCTACCTTAACATATATAAAATTTCACCTGAAGGTGTAATTCTGACAAGCACGTTCGGTACTGTGACGTACTGGAACTCGGCATGTTTTGCATTGGCGAAAAATACTTCAGGTTTCCATATTCTTTGCACTAATTTAGGATCGTTCAAATCCAGTGGTTTCACTAGGTGCGGTTGTCTCAAGCGATGATCATACCACGTTTGACGCAAGTAGAGGTCCACTTCATAATCCTATAAATAATAAACAAATTGCAGATAATTCCATAAATCTCCATTTTACAATAATTGTTTTGGCATGAGATACAGGTTTCTCAAGTTTATTTTGAAGTATAATGCAGAATTTCAAATAAGTATAACCTTAATACAAATTTTAAAGGAATAAGATCTATGCTATACTGATTTAGAAGCAATATTTTAACCTATGACTGTAATCGTTAAATGTTTGCTTCACCAATTAACAGGTGGAATGTATGCGTAGAGAAAACGATTAATTATATGCTAAAGTTTTGTTACGATATTCTACTCCTGAGCAGTGAAAATAAACCAAAAATTGCAGTCCAATATTTCAACATCTCAATTAGTAAAACATTCCACAATGGCACTGGTGAATCGAGACTTCGAGGATTCAAGTCTCTATGGAGTAATTTATTTTCGAACTTTCACGCAAAACTTTTGTAATTATATGTACATATTAATTCAAATAAAGCTTTCTCTTATAATCATTCACAATTAATTTTAATTGACAATTTGTTAGTGTATTTTTCAAATGTAAACCTATACCAAAACCCAACATAATCAATCACATTTAGATGAACACACTGAGTGTGTTCATTCAGTAACATTTAAGTTTAAACAAAAATGAATAGAATTTATTTTAACTTCATCTTGGATTTTACAAACTTAAATAAATTACTTCAGTTTGAAATCTGGTTTCATAAAAGCCCTTTTGAAGTATTTATTTACAATAAAATTGAAACATTTTAAGCACTTTCAAATACTTTAACATGGTCTTATTATGACCATTATTTAACACGAATAAAGTTATTTAATTTTAAATCAAATTTAATCCAAGTAGTCTAGAATATGTCCGAGGCTTATTGCTCTTGAAATAATAAAAAAATTATATTCTTACAAATGCAGGGAGTCAGCAAAATTAGAATAAGCTTGTATTGTTTGTATCAATATCACAGTCAAGCTCGTTAATCAGTATAGCACATCTACTCAGTTTCTTAACAGTTTCTACTTCATTCCTCATTTATACATTTCTTGGATGAGCCGATAAAATGAGAAGAGACAAACATAAGTACAAATGAAATTCTACAACATAATTCTTAAACACGTTTTTAGACCGTAAGTTAAATCTAGAACCAGCAAAGGTCCCAGGAAATTCTATGCTCATTAAGCTAGCAAAAATACTTGCATGAAGTTGTCTTACTTTTTACATAAACTTTATATAAAGGACGCTATAATAATTTTTTCTTCTGGTAAGGCCTTTAAGTAATCGGGAGTAATTATATAGCAATAACTCTTAAAGATAGCATTTCATCTACAAGAGAATTTCAGTCAATGAATCAACTGAGGCTTTTTATAAATTTTATATCATTAAAGCAAAATAGTTTTTTTAGGCTAGACTACAAATCTCTAGATATCTGATACACTAAGATACAGACACTTTGTCTGACCCTCATGTTTAAAATACTGTGCAGAGTAACTCCGTATTTTGTTCTGATTTCTTAGTTTAAAATTGCTAGTTACAAGATATATTTTTCCTTTAAGCCTGAAAGTTCAAACATTTCAGACATTCGCACTTCTCGAAATATTTATTGCAGTTTTGTGCGAGAGTCAAGAAAATTACTTCCATCCAAACTTTTATAGAAACTGACTCTTACATTTCACGAATTAAATGTTATTTGAGCGAGTAAAGGAAACGAGTCCTATCTTAATGGTCCTGTAATATATACCATTAGCGAAGGATTTAGGATGGCTTTGTAAGCTACTCTTAACTTACTTCTTAGGAAATGTTGTAACAGAAATAGATATATAAACTGACGTACGTTTTTGAGATATTAAATCATATATAATAAAAAAGAAAATATTAGTTACTATTATTATACATATATTACATATATATATATATATATATATTAACTATAATAAATGCCTAATAACGAAGAAGTAATCGTTGTCAATTAAGCATTAAGCATTTCTATGTTTCTTGATGAAACATTCTTGAAACACATGCACACACATAAGCGGGAGCCAGATATGCTCCAGTTATTTTAATATTTCTGCTTTTCCGCATCTTTACAGCAATAGGCCCACCAGCGGCCGAGCGATAAAGTCGCTGAACACTGGTAGTTCGGTCCGAGGTTCGAATCCCGCGAACGAGCTGGCTGCATGGACGTTTTCGTGGTTTTCCCCATGTGTAACGTGTATACGAGCCAGTTTCCCTTAGAAAGTCCTCCACGAAAGGCATCCCTCCCCTTAGGCGGATAGCCCTCGTGTGCTTTGTCATAATTAAATACACCACCACCACACCTTTACAGCAATATATTTCATGTTAGAAAATTAATCAATTAGCAGAGCAGAGGATCGGAAAAAGGAATGTGTCGATTCCTAATTATTAAAAATTAAAATTACTGTTACAAATCGAGGTTAGAGTTCTATTTAACATGGTCTTTATCTTAAACAAACGTACTTGCGTACATGCATATGCACACATATATATGAAACTTAAAATGAAAAGGTTTTATTAAAACTTCAGAAGTGTGTTTTTAACTCAGTTAGATTATTCCTAAGATTATCCTCAAAATAAATTCCAGTTGTCACAAATAGAATACGAAATGTTAATTTCTTTCGAAATGTAATATTAGGCTTAACATTTGTATGCCCGAAATATATAATTGAAGTAAACTATTGAGTTTATTTCTAGACTCAATTTTAATACATTATTATAATTACAGTAGTTTATTATTTATTCAATATACTTTGGTATAACTCAGATTAAAAGATACGAGAAATGAGGGTATTTATCGTTAAAATACATTATAAAATATTTTCTGAAAGGATTAAAAAAACACTTGCTCTCATATTATGTGACAATATGTTTTAGCTCACATTTTGATCATCAAAGATTACCTCACCTTAAAATTAATGAGAAGAAAAAAAGACAGACATTAGACTTTAAAGAAAGATGAAAAGAAATACAGCATCTTTAATCGGTATAGTTGTTTTCTTATAAAAATTAAATAATTGAGAATGATTTCATAGTAACTTCCTGCTGGTAATAGCATTCAAAGATCCTGTCGTCGTTGCGCATCGCCAATAATTTGTACGACTCTGTTGTTAGAAGTAAGAACGTCACGAAAGACACCTACAAAGCGGTATTTAGAAAGAAAAAAAAGCATGAAAAGAGGTAAAAATACTTGATTTTCAACAGTTTGGCCTTTTTTTTTCCTTTTTGTTCTCTTTTAGTAATACCACAATATTTATTCGTAATCTCCGTAATTTGCAAACCGTAAAAAAAAAAAAAAAAAAAAAAAAAAAAAAAAAAAAAAAAAAAAAAAATCATAAATTTCTACAAAATCACATCTTCGTTAAAAAAAAGAAACAGAATAATTAAATGATTTCCTGTGCGTATTGAATAGACAATACATGATAAAAATTAACTTCAGTGAATAATCTGTTTTGTTGTATTCACCTAATTTTAATTGCATAGCATTTATCGAATTGCAAGTTATTCAACAAATCCAGTACAATGTCTGGCATATTTTAAGCCAAATTTAGAGTAAGAAAATATATGGCTACCTTTATAACATTCCTGCTTAACAAACAAGTAATTTTGACAATAAACTGATCGAGCATTAAACGAAGACTTACGTTAGTGAATATAACGGGATACTCGGTTTTACTTTAGTTTCTTTTCTAACCTCTCGTCTAAAATGTCTTCCGAACGTGAAGGAAAAATTCTCATTTTGGGAATTTTAAGTATCATCACATGCGTTCTTAATACAGTTGAGATGTATGATACTCAGATAAAAAGAAGAAAGCAAAATTAATATTAAAGACAAGGTCTTTTCAGTATTGAAAATTTAATAGGAACGAACTTCTAAACTGTGAAGAACGTACTACATTACGCTATGTGTTACGTAGAAAAAATAAATATTATTCATTACAATTACCTTTCATTTAACTTTTAACTGACTTCTAAACTAACTTCCTCTTTGGTGCCGCGACAATATAAAAAACTAAAACTAAAACCAAACACTTACTCTCAGAATCAAAATCTTAAACTTTATATCAAAGAAATAAAGAAAAAATATTCTCTCTCCTGTTTTGATGAAACCAAAGATTATTTATCACAACAAAATGTTAAATGCACTTCCGCAACAAAATCATTAACAAGCTATCTCCCACAAAAATAAAGCTAATTCAGATCTCCAATCTGAAAACACATAAATTTCATTACAAATCTAGAGATAGCCCTAAAACACAACATTTAAAATGCAACACAGAACTCTTCAAAACACCAGAAAAGGATAAATCTCACACTTAAGAAGTCCACTCATCAAATTCCAAATAAATTAAGTCCCACCAGCCGAGCGGTAAAGTCGCTGAACACTGGTAGTTCGGTCCGAGGTTCGAGTCCCGCAAACGGGCTGGCTGCATGGGCGTTTTCGTGGTTTTCCGCATGTGTAACGTATATACAGCCAGTTTCCCTTAGAAAGTACTCCACGAAGGCATCTCTTCCCTTAGACAGATAGCCTTCGAGACTTTGCCATAATTACACGCACACACCAAATAAATTATTTAACCCGATCGTATAGTCACAAACACTTTTAACACTCATTTTCTACTATCCAGGTTCGAATTGGAGTAAAACCATGCTTCCGTAAGGAACACATGGGTGACCTACAGTAGACCACAATTAAAACTCAAAAGAAACATACAATAAATACATCAATAAACACATTTATTAAATATTCCAAATATTATAATTTAAAATAGCTGGCCAGACTACCCCTACAAAATCTTTCTAAAAGTTACTCATAGTTTTTTTTCATATCCATCTCATTTTTAACGTTATTCAGATCATACAAAAATCATAGTGAAACACCCCACAGTTATTAACCTTTTTTAAATAGGTACTCAAGAAATTTAAACTCATGTATAAAGCTAATTTAGAATAAATCATATTTCTTTCAACTGTGACACATCAGTATATTTATCTT